TGAACCACCATGCTGCCTTAAAACCAAAATATAATACAATAAACTAACATGGAACAATGGTATTGCATATAGTGACAGTGACCCTGTCAATTTCAATCTGAAAATAGGCTTGTCATGGTGGAGCAGTGGGTAGACCTGTCACCTCACAGCCACAGGGTTGCTGCTTGTTGCATTAATGGCTGAAGTTTTCATGTTCTCCCCATCTAGCACTGTAGGTAACTAGCAAGTGACTTGAAGTGAGTCTGTGAAGTAAATAAATATACCCTAGAATTAAAGGCCTAGTATTTCTATAAAGTATGCAAATTGCTCACTGCCTTTTCTTACTTTTAACTTGTGCTAAGATAATCTTATGCAGAGAAACTGAGTTGTAGCCATGTTGGTCAAACCTTTTAAATGACATTATGCAAGATCAATATTATTAGGTTGTATTAAATATGTTAGCCCTTAAAGTATGGGCTACCATACTATGGGCTGAGATGATGCTCGGCTACAACCACCTAAATTAACTCAACATCTGTAAAATCGGCTATTACCGTATACTCGTGTTCTTGTTTTCTTGGGCTGATTAGCTGTGGTGGTCATCTCGAGTTAGGGGACTTCAAAAATTGTACATCAAGAACTCAATTAATAATTTATAGACTTATACCCAATCTCCCATTTATACGGAAAAATAATTTTAAGAATATTAGGAAATAAATTGTGTGAGCAAAAACACCCCCAAAAATCACAATTTCTAAACGGAAATTGTTGAGGAGTTTCAGTCTGACTTTAAATTTCATTAAAATACAGAAACGGCACTGGTGAAAGTTACTAATGTTCCTCAGGCTTCAGTGCTCGGACTCTTTACTTTATAAATGCTTCCATTAGGTAAAGTTATTAGACAGCTCATGATACATTTTCATTGTTATTCAATTCAATTTTTCAATTCAGTTTATTTATATAGGGCCAAGTCACAACAGAAGTAATCTCAGGGCACTGAACAGAAACATTAATATATAAAATAATAATTTTACGTTATTTATCAAAGGTGCAGACTGCTTTGAATTTAACTCTATCAAAGAAATCTCATTTTGAGCAAGCGTGAAGGTGACATATGCTTAGTTATGCTGACAATACTTAAATGTATCAATGAAAATTTATGAATCGTTGCTTAAATTACAAGCTTGTCTAAAACCCTATTTGCATGGGATTAGTTTTACCAAGGGACCACATGCTGTAATAATTACGGAGATTGTCTGTGTTGTTCATCCTGTGCGAATCGACCATGTCAGTAATTTGTAAAGTACAATTTCCCCCACAAATTACCTACTATATTTTGCTGAAGTCCGAGGTCCTGTGATAATAGTAATCCAATGCGAATAGACATCTCTGTGATTTGGACAGAAATGGGCGAGATCCGATATGTAATTAGGCGGTTTTTATTTTTGTTTTCTAGGCAAAATCATTTGGTTAAATATAGAACAAGGTTATTTTAAATGAACGCGCAGCTCGCTTTGGCTTTTGTAGATGCTGCTACTTCCTTCACCGCAGATGACAGCAGGTGCGGAGACGCGTGCAGCTGGTGATCAGCTGATTTATCCACCCATCCATCCATTATATTTACCCGCTTCTTCCTTTTCGGGTAGCGGGGGTCGCTGGTGCCCATGTTTAGCCATCACTGTGCAGAGGTGGGGTACACCCTGGACAGGTCACAAGTCCATTTCAACCAGCGGGTCAATGGCCCATGACAGGTTGTCCATCTGAGCTTAAAGCTTTTATTTTACCTCTTTAACATCATATCCGGAAGATGTCTGTAAATTTCAGCTAAATCTCAGGCTTTGGTTATCCTGTGCAAATGTGACGCATAAAAAGCAGACATTGGGGAGTAATTTATTTATTACATGTGGTACCTAGGTAAAACTAATCTCATGTGAATTGATCTTTAGAGACATTAAAACCTGAATGACCCTTGATTTTTTTTGCTTTTAAACTCGGACTAGATTGTGGTTTTTGGACCTGAGCATCTTAGGAATCAATTTTACAGTCTTTCACTTCCTCTGGATGGCATTAATTTGGCCTCCAGTTCTAACATAAATAAATCTTGGGTGTTATTTTTAATCAAGGTATGTATTTTAATCCCAACATTAAAAAAGTTACCAGGGCCTCTTCATTCCACCTGCGTAATATCACTAAAGTTAGAAACTTATTTTGCCAAAATGTTGCAGGAAAAAAAACTTGTCCATGCATTTATCACTTCTAGACTGGATTAATGTTTTACCGCAATATCTGGGTGTCCAAAAAACTTCGTTAAAAAGTCTTCAGTTGATCCAAAATGCTGATGCCTGAGTTTTAATGAAAGTTGGTAGAGGCGATCATATTTCTCCAGTTTGAGCTTCTCTCCATTGGTTTCCTGTAAAATTCAGATTAGAATTTAAAATATTATGTCTAACATACAAAGCTCTCAAAAACCTAGCTCCATCTTGTATTGGTCTATACTTTCAAAACATAGCACTTCACTCCCATGCTGCAGGTTAACTCATGGTCCCCATCGTTTCTAAAAGTAGAATGGGAGGTTGTTTCAGTTTTCAGTCTCTTGTGGAACCAACATCCAGTTTTTGTCCATGAGGCTGACTCTACTTTTAAGACCAGGCTTAAGATTTTCCTTGTTAGATAAATCCTAGGGTTAGGGTTAGCTTGGGCTTAGGTTGCTGGTGGAAAACTGACCACATTTCCTCACTGTGTTGCTGCCTTTATTGTCCCTCATCACAGGACAAAGAGAAGTGCAACCGTTTGTCTGTCCGTACGTCTATGTTGTGAGTATAACTTTGAAAATAAGTGAGGTGCCGACTTCAATTGTAGCTGCAACTAGGCGTAAGAAAGATTCCTCTCAAATATTGGGTTGTCACATCAAAATCCAAGACGGCCACCACCATTCAGTATGTAAAGCTGCTATTCCTATCATTTAAGGAAACTATCCTTTCTAGTTTAAATTTGCATAAAAGTATACCAGTGGTTTTCACAAATGGGTGGGGTGGCCGAAGATCAATCTGTGGTGACCTATGCCACCATTGGCCACCCCATGGCTCAGAGAATTGTGGCTGGTGGTGGGTAAAATTGGTCCCTCCGCTCACCAGGATCTGTCACTCTGCGCTGCCTTGGACAAGTCAAATAAAAACAAAAAAACATACCTCTGTTCTTCTACACAATGGGACTCTTACCTCCTTGAAGATCCTGGATCAAAAACATTATGGTTTACTTGCGTTTCATGTTCAATTCCATTCCAAACAACACTCATCTAGAAAGCTACTATTCACTATTAAAATCCCTCAATGAGAGAAGACATCTGCAAACCGCTCATTCACTCTACTGTTCATGTTTGCATTTGTAATTATTTCTAACATTAAGGTGTTTTCTTTCTCTTTTTTTCCCCCAAAGAAAGTACGTATGGATGGATTAGCCATTTTCTGTCTTGTGTATATTGATTTCCTGCCGCCTCTTTCCCCTGCCAGTCGAGGCAGTTGGCTGCCTATGCTAAGCCTCATTCTGCTGGAGGTTTCTTCCTGTTAAAAGGAAGTTGTTGTTTTTTTATCCACTGTCGACTTTGTGCTCGCTTTGGATGGGAGGTTGCGACGAAACAGAGATTAAATTAAATCTGCTGGCTTGCTTAGATGTATAACTTTCACTAACTGGTATTTTTAATGTATGTGAATGTTTTGAACAGTGCCCTAAGACAACATTTGATGTGAACTTGTGCTATACAAGCCATGGACACCAGACTACGATCTGAACTTACTTTGTTGAGTTATCTGGACTGGTTAATGCTGGAAATCAATTGAGAGTTAATTAAAATATACTTCAGGCCTCATCATAGAGCAAACTTGCATGAAAGATTTGACAACTGTTTCACTGAACACCCCCCACCACCACCACCACCAACGCCCCACCCAACGGACATAACCTGAGCTCAATCCTGCAACCTCAGGTCTACTGTACTGACCTCTGAGCTACCGCCACCCCTCCTATTGATGTTCCTGTAATGATACATTCAGACATCAGTCCATTATCTTTACCTGCTTCTTCCTTTCTGGGTCATGGGGGGTCACTGGTGCCCAGATCCAGCAGTCACTGTGCGAGAGGTGGGGGACAACCACGACAGGTTTCCAGTCCATCACGGGGACATGGAGACGAACAACCAGTCACTCTCACACTCTCACTTAGGGGCAATTTAGAGTTACCAATCAGTCTAACATGCATGTTTTTGGTCTGTGGGAGGAAACCAGAGTACCCAGCGATCCAGGGACCCCCAGTGACCCTGAAAGGAAGAAACTGGTATAGATAATGCATGACTGGGTGGATTAAATCATATATATCAATACAATCGGTTCCACACCACCTTTTAAAGAGGGTTTGAGCAAAAACATTTTCAATGCACTGACAAATTTCACAGCTTGATCTAGTTCTATCAAATGGCTAACGGCAGAAATGAACAACAGTTGTAAACAGCGTTTTAGTGACGAGGTCACACAATGATCTCTTGATGTCGAAGCTACAAAAACGCTTGAACCTCTCGTTAATTTGTTGGAGTTGAGAGGAAAAGTGCATCGAACTTTGAGGTGGAAGTGATATAAAAACTGGCAACACTATTAACTGCACTGTTAACCAACACCCCCCACCCCACACACACCATTTATTTGTTCATCAGTGTGAGCAACTTTTGTCTGGGATAATAATCATAGTAATAATTATTATATGCATTATTATTGTTATTGTTATCAGTTACTATAATAAGTGTACTGTATTTGTATTTTTTTCTATATCTTCTGTCAATTTAATGGGAAATGTTTGTAGCTGTTTGAGGTTTTTTTTTTGTTTTTGTTGAGTTTTTATAGTTTTCTCAGCTGTTTTATGGCCCCAAAAGACTTGAGATCTGTGCTTTAAATTAGCATGTAATTACCTAACACAAAGCCAGTGTCTGAATGTTCAACATCTCTTTTTTTTTTTTGTTTGTTTCTGCTCCACAGTCTCTACGGCAGACACATGCAAGCTAATCCCGAGCCTCCGAAAAAAAGTAACGATAAAAGCAAGAAAATCAGCCGTAAACCCCTGGCTGCCAAGAACAAATGAAGAGGAAAGGACAAATGCTTCACAGCCGAGCTTACTGCATGTGCCTTTTTTATTTACATTTATATATTACATGGGAAAACAGGCAGCTTTTGCATGTATACACATGCTTATGCATATGTAGTTTTCAGTATTGTATAGGCTCCTGTTAGCCTAATACTTGTATAACAATATATTTGTACTATAATATCAGCAGAGCTCATTTCACACTAACCTGTTTTTAATGCTTTAAAGATGCCAGCACTGTTACACAAACAGAAGCATGGACATTTGATTGGGTAACTTTCAATGGACTGTTTTCAGATATGTCTTCAGAGTAAGATGAATTAACTTAATATGAATTTTATTTGTACTTGGAAGCTGTAACGTCTGTGTTCAGCACAGATCAGCTGTAGCACCATCTGAAGTCAGGATTATCAAGGGAAGTTGGAGGTCACTGACCAAGTACCCCCCTCAAAGTCTGATGTGGTTGCTCTGCACGTTAAACATGATAGCTGCAGAGCTAAATGCTCACACACGTGTTTCAATCGATGCAAAGTACAGAAAATATACAGTATTAACCTGTGCTGCTAATGCTAGTTCGCCTGTACTTGAGCACAGTAATTAGCACATTCTGCTGATTTCTGACTTGGGTGTGACGTCATTCCTAAACCCAAATTCTTATTTCAGAGGTAAATTGAAGACAGGATGATGATAGTAGACCCTGAACAGACTGTAGAAAGATCCTTACATGTCTCACATCATCATGCTTCAGAACACTGTAAAAATACACAAATGCAATCCATGTTCAATTTTTTTTTTAAGTTTTAGCTATAACTATGTGTAAGATCTGTTTTGTTTTTGCTAATTTACCATAAATCCCTTTTATTTTACGGAGATGTCAAGACAAAGTTTTCTGTTTGCTGATTGGTCTACGTTCCTACCCTCGCCTATTGTCACGAACTGCAGGTAGTGACAGAAAGAACAAGATCGCAGACACAGGAAATAGGTTTTCTCTGCAGGGTAGCTGGACTCTTCTTTACAGATGGGGTGAGAAGTTCAGTTATCAGGAGAGACTCGGAGTAGAACCACTGCTCCTCCACATCAAGAGGAGACAGTTGAGGTGGATCAGGCATCTGGTCAGAATGCTTCCTGGGTGCCCCCCTCGGGAGGGTTGATCCGTGCGACCCGGATGTACACTACGGATCCTGCTTCCGTAACATACAAGGGAATGACAAGGGTTTCTGAGCATGAATGACTGGGAGGAGACCCCAGGGAAGACCCAGGACACGCTGGAGAGACCATGTCTCTTGGCTAGCCTGGGGACATTTGGGAATCCTCCAGAAGAGGTGGTTGTGGAAGGAGATGTCTGGACCTCCCGGCTCAAGCTGCTGCCCCCATGACCTGACTGAAACAAGCTGAAGATAATGGATTATTATAAAATACAGATTATTATTATATGATTTATAAATGTAAGAACATCATTAGTAATTTTACTGCAGATGTTTTTCTTAAAGATATCTCATTGGGTTATGACTGTTGGTGACCAGCTTGTAAATCATAATGAGCACGTTTCTAAAATGTCTTGAAATGTTTGGGATTCTGTTTCCTTGAGTATGAGGTACAGGGGCTGAATCTTCTTTGATTTTTGAACATGTATAAAAAAACAGTTTTTTCTTAAAGTCGGAGTCATTAGGGTGTCTCAAACCCATCTCAAAATCACTAGAGCTGCGTTTTTAAACCAGCATGGGAGATCTCTGACGAAAAAAAAAACGTGGCAATCAATCAGGTCTTAACACCACTCGAGATAAATATTTAAAAACGTACAAATCTGTCTAAATTTATTCCTTAAATGTACTCCAGTAGATTAAATCATAAACGTGGGGAACTGCCGACATGAAACAAAGCAGGCTGGCAACCAAACGTGCACAACCTGGAATATGCTTGCCCATGAAGATGACTGGGATTTTCAAAACGTGGGCTCACAGCTTGGTGATCATTTGGTCACAAAAAAAAAAATCAGTGAGACTACAAAAAATCTTCATATTTCCCTCACAGTTCAGTATCCAACAGTCCCAGCCCAGTGATGTACTGGCCTTAGACCACAGACATGCATCAACTCATCACATGTCAGGAGCTGATCATGGTTAGGATTCTGGAAGCATGGCACTTTACATAACAACAGCTATAGTGTTTTTTATACCTAAATGTACCTGCAGCACTGATCAAACCACACAGAATAATAAAGTTTGCATCTTTCTACATGTGTCATATTGTTTGCATGGGTTGAGTCATTAAGGATAAATATTCTAGTTGTAGTGAAGAAGTCTGGAGAAGATCCCCTCCTGTATGAATGAGCATGTTTGAGGAGCAGAGTGAAGGCTCATACTGAAAATTTGCTTTAAGAACAAAAGATGTATCAGTTTTTCTTTATAAATGATCTGCTCCAACCTAAAGTCGCTGCTCATCACTTCTGGTTTCTCCTAAGTTATTGGCGTCTGCTGCTAAAGGCGTAAGGATGTTTGAAGTAAAATAACCCAATAACTACTGGACAGATCTAAGTGAAATTCAGAAAGTAATCAGGATGTGCATCTACAGCAGGCTAACATTTGGAATCCACTCAATTCAAGAAGGTTGCCACAGTTGATGTTCACCAACACAAAAATGGCCATAACTTTATCAACTACAGTTATGGAGCCAAATGTGGTCATAACTGAGTCATTCACAACACACTTCAGGACTAACATCTTGCGAGATCTCATGTGACTGTGTAGAGCATGAATTACAAAGTTTGACCAAAACTCCTGCAACTCCTTTATTTTTTATCAGTGATATCTTAACCTGGGCAGTGACCAAAATAATGAGATTGTGGATACAAGAGGTTGAAATGAGTTTCCTCTGCAGGGTGCCTGGACTCTCCCTTAGAGACGGGGTGAGAAGTTCAGTTATCTGGAGAGACTGGGAGTAGAACCACTGCTCCTACACATCGAGAGGAGCCAGTTGAGGTGGTTCAGGCATCTGGTAAGGATGCTCCCTGGGGCTCCTTAGGGAGGTGCTTCGAGCATGTCTGGGAGAAGACTCCAGGGAAGACCCAGGACACGCTGGAGAGACTGTCTCAGTTGGCTTGGGAACGCCTTGGGGTCCTCCCAGAAGAGGTGGCTGTGGAAAGAGATGTCTGGGCCTCCCTGCTCAAGCTGCTGCCCCCGCGACCAGACTTTGAAATAAGCAGAAGATGATGGATGATATCAAAATTGAAAACTATGTCATGAAATGTCAATTCCTACGTGTCCAACAACAAAGTCCATGCTCAATAATCCAGGTATACAATCCAACATTTTTCAGTCAGGTCATCTGGACAGTTCTTTTTTTGTGTGTGTCCAGTTTACCACTTTTATTGTCTGTCCAAACAGGTCTCACTTGTAAATGAGTCTTTGAGGCTCAATGTGACTTATCTGTTTAAATAAAGGTTGAATGAATGAAAGGCAGCTGACTTGCTCTCGACGAAAACGGATTCTTTCTTTCCTTCTCCTACCTCTCTCCTGCTTTTTCTCTTGTCCTGTGAATCTGTCCCAGAGCCTCTCTTTACACATGCTCCGAATCGTAAATTATTATGGATCTGGTAAACTGGTCTCTCAACGCAACTGATAAAATTTTCTCGACTAGAAGATAGGGTGAAGAAGAACCCTCATGCCCTGAAGATTGGATGGACCCCATGGATTCCTGTGGTGAATGGAAGATGATGTGCCTGTCTATATTGTCCATTGAGGTTGTTGATGACGCATACATAATTGGTATTTATGATAACAGGGTTTCTGTTATTTGGAATCAGTGGGTACCTGGGATACCGACTAATTAGGAAGACGTCGGCAGCAGTTTTGCCAATGGTGAACCTGCCTGCCTTATGTACCTTGCTTCCAGCGCTCAGGCTCAGATGCGTTGCGAGCTTTGCGATTTCTGAGAATCGGAGACCACTTGTATCTCCTAGAACTCAGTGGCATGAAGGAATCAACCTTGGAGAAGGCTAAAAGCACAGAATGACCACAAATCTGTCTGTTTGGATTCACCATTGAGTGCGCCAGCAGAAACTATGCAGACATGAAATCAGTAGAGTCGACCTGTCCCAAAACAATTGTTGTTTATCTGAAACTGGCTTTCTCACTTGGCCTTGGATAGGACAACCTTTCTCAAATTGCTCCTGGGGATATGTGGGGCTCTGCTTCATCATTATGGCCACAAATAGATTGAAGCTCTGCTTCTATACACACGCACACATATATATATATATATATATAGTATACAGCTTTCTCATGCGTACATGCAGACTAAAATGGAAGTGCACCTGTTGTGTTATTCAAGTCATGCTGCTCACAAAGTTTACAATTTTACATACAGTATATGGTGGCAGCCATTTTAGATTTTGATGTGGCAATCAGGTTTTTGATTGGGACCTTTCTTGTTTTAAGATGCATATTTTTCAAGTTATCCAGTTTACAAGACCGACAGACAAACAAATGTATAGAGGGTATTTCCAATTCCCCTTGTTACTCCATGACAGGTGACAATAAGAGTCTAAAAGACTGGAAACTCACAGGAGCTGAAAAGGACAAGGGAAGAGCTGGTTGCTGGTATTAAGAAGGCCAAGGCCACATATGCACAGAGGATCATGGGCCAATTCACCTCCCAAGACCCAAGGAGCATGTGGAGTGCATTAAGTTTATAACAGATTATAAAGGAAGAAGCGAACAATGCCCCAAAGACCCATCACTGCCTGATGCCCTCAACAAGTTCTATGCATGCTTTGAAGACCAAAACAGACCACCCAGCACCAGACTCACCTCACCACCAGATGAAGAGCATCTCAGTGTGACCGCAGCTGAAGTGAGGAGTACCTTCAGGAGGATTAACCCTCAAAAAGCAACTGGCCCAGACAACATCCCCGGGAAGGTGCTGAAAGACTGTGCCAGTCAGCTCTGCAAGATGTTGGCAGACATCTTTAACTACTCACTTACCCTGGCGACAGTTCCCAACTGCCTGAAGACTGCCACCATCATCCCAGTCCCAAAAAACTCTACAGTGACTGGTCTGAATGACTATTGGCCAGTAGCCCTCACCCCGATAGTCGCTAAATGCTTTGAAAAACTGGTCATGACCCACATCAAAACAACCATCAACATCAACGAGGACCCTCATCAGTATGCATACCGTGCAAATAGATCAACAGAAGACACAATCTCCTCTGTGGTCCACACTGCTCTCACCCACCTGTAGCAGAAGGACTCCTACGTCCATATGTTCTTTGTGGACTTGACGTCTTCCTTAAATACCATGATCCCCCAAACCCTGATGGACAAACTATTCACACTAGGACTAAGCCCCTCCTTTTGCAACTGGGTACTAGACTTCTTGACAAACAGACCACAGTCAGTGAGGATCCACAACTTCTCTTCCTCCACCATAACCCTCAGCACTGGCTCTCCTCAGGGATGTGTGCTGAGCCCTCTCCTGTTCACTCTGCTCACGTATGATTGTGCAGCTACCCATCCAGGCTGTCATATTGTAAAGTTTGCAGATGATACAGCGGTGGTGGGATGCATCAAAAACAATGATGAGTCCAGCTACAGGCAAGAGGTGGAACACTGGAGAGCTGGTGCAAGGAGAATAACCTCTGCATAAGTCAGCCTCCCCACCATCACAGACATTTACATCTCCAGATGCTGGAAGAGGGCCACCTGCATCATGAAGGACCCCACTCACCCAGCACACACACACTTTTTCCCCCACTCCCCTCAGGAAGGCGGTTGAGGAGCATTATGTGCAGAACCACTAGTCTGAGGAACATCTTCTACCCTGAGGCTGTTAGACTCATGAATATCTAACCAGGATAATCCATCCATCCATTATCTTTTACCCGCTTCTTCCATTTTGGGTCACGGGGGTCGCCAGCAATCACTGTGTGAGGGACGGGGTACACCCTTGACAGGTCTCCAGTCCATCACAGGGACACATAGAGACAAACAACCATTCACTCTCTCTCTCACACCTAGGGACAATTTAGAGTCACCAATCAGACTAACATGCATGTTTTTGGTCTGAGAGAGGAAACCGGAGTACCCGGAGAAAACCCACGCATGCACAGAGAGAACATGCAAACTCCACCCAGAAAGGCCCCTGGACTGGGATTTGAACCAGGGACCTGCTCACTGAGAGGCAGCAGCTCTACCAGTTGTGCCACCGTGCTGCCCCCTTTAAATCTATAATCTTAATTTAATTTACTTTCATGACTCCTTGGTTATTTGGCAAACAGTCAAAACGGCTATTTAATTAGTTGAACAGTTTACATTTGTGTGAATGATGCAAGTTTGTTACGGTTTGAGATAAGTAGTTACTGTAAAAAATGTTTTTCCTTAAATTGCTACATGACAATACTTGTAACCTCGAGTCCAAGTGGAGTTCAGATGACAATGGTAAATGGACTGAACTTATATAGCTCCTTTCTATCTTATCAAGACACTCAAAGATCTTTACAACACAATCTGTGCCTCATTTACTCATTCATACAGCTCTATACTAGATCTCTACAAAGAATAATCAGAACTTTATCACATTCATACACTGATGGGACACACATCGGAGGCAATGAGGGGTTCAGTGTCTTGCCCAGGGACACTTCTACATGTGACTGCTGGTGGAATTGAACCCCAAACTCTCCCATTGAAGGACAACTGCTCTAACCACTCAGCCACAGCTGTTCCTAATTGTTGAGATTAATTGTTCAAACTCTCAACATATTTTAGCAGGATGTAAAAAGGATGTACTTACCTTCCTGTATCTGCATATTGTCCATGGTATACTTGTACCGGGTACCTTCTAATAATCTTGAGCTCTTTGTCCTGAAGTTCTGCTGGTTCACAGAAGAGATTGGGTCTTTAGACATGTCTCAAGGTGAGGACAGACGGTTTGGTGCAGAGAGAATGGGACAGAACCAGGTAAGTTGGCCAGAAGTAATGTTCTGTTGTGAGGTGAATCTCAGTATTTGTGTTAATATGAATAAGAATGCGTCAACATTTGATTTTTATGTTCTCAGTGGTAGATTAACTCGGGCAGATTTGTTGTGCCGCATATTTTTTCTTCTCTTATTCACAACAGATCATGCTTCTTGTTTTAAAATATATTCTGAAAGAGTTAATGAAACACTGCAGCACGGTGGAGCAGTGGGTAGAGCTGCCACCTCTCAGTGAGAAGGTCGCCAGTTCAAATCCTGGCCCGGGACCTTTCTGGGTTGAGCTTGCATGTTCTCTCTGTGCATGTGTGGGTTTTCTTCGGGTACTCCAGTTTCCTCTCACAGACTGAAAACATGCATGTTAGTCTGATTGGTGACTCTAAATTATCTCTAGATGTGAGTGAGAGTGAATGGTTGTTTGTCTCTATGTGTCCCTGTGATGGACTGGAGACATGTCCAGGGTGTCCCCCGACTCTAACGCAGTGATGGCTGGATATGGGCACCAGTGACCCCGTGACCTGAAAAGGAAGAAGCAGGTAAAGATGATGGATGGATGATTTAACACTCAAATAATGGAGTTATTCTCCCACCAGTGACCAGGTTAAGTAAAACATGTGCATGAATCCCTTTGAAATGTTCCAGACTGGATGTGGACGTTTGGTCAGACTGCACATCATCAGCTCATCAGCCTGTCGATACAGTCCAAGCAGGTGGCAGACTTTGACCCCGGGGCCACCACGGTGTTTAAATAAATCCTACCACCAAGACAGGAAGGTGCCTCTGACCCAGAGTCAGTGTTGTGTGAAGGAAGGTCCCTGCTCGTCGCCCAGTGACTGCTGGGAATACGCACCAGTTCCCAGTGAATAACAGAAAATGAGCGGTGGTGAAAATAAAACATGTATCTTAATGTTGGAGTACTGAGCTGTTGACCATGTTTCCACAGGCGAGTCATTAACCAACAGATGAGGTCACTTTATGTTTACATTTATGATTTTTAAAGGACTTCTTTTGCTGATTCAATAGCGTTTTCCACATTTTCACTTTGTGTCAGGGAAGTTCTTAAAATGAACAACTTGTAAGTTATGGCTGTCAAACATCTAATCTCTTTCGCTGCTTGTTTTAGTGATGCAGCGTTTTCAGAACTGTCCGTAACATTGATGAAAGCATCTGTTTGAGCTGAGGCCAGTTCAGCCATTCATCATTCGTCTGTGCAGTGAGGGAAGTGTCAATACAGCCTCCAAATGTCCAGCTGTGGACACCTGAAGGACTGGACACTGAAAACACCAGGTCCATGAGATTATACTGGTTTGATGCATCATCTGACCTGTGAGCTTTTACAACTGTAATAATAATGAACTGATTATAATAACATTAATAATAATAGCAATAACACAATTAATATTATTATTAGTTGAAGTTGTCTTGTGCGTGCGAGCTGGACATCCTGTCCCTGTTTCATTCTTCTCTCTCTCTCTGGTCACGCGCCTTTGATTGTGCGCGCCTCCCCGGGACTGCTGGTTCTGATCCATCAGAGAACAGCCGGACTGTGGGAGAGGGGCAGGTTTTCCTTCTGGACCTGGGACCATGAAGTCTGTGGTCTGACCGCGCTGCAGCCTGAACCACCAGCAGCCCCCACACGTCTCGGGGGGGGGTCCCTGTTTGAACAAGTTCTCCACCTTCAGTCCAAAGTGCAGCTCCTGCTCTGGTTTCTGTTTCTTGGAAGTGGATCTTGAAAGCATCAAGATTTCTCCTAAAGCCAGGCAGCAGGACCGTCCTGCGCTCCGGCTGGTGGGCAGGAAGCGGCTGGTGGCTGCGGGGGTCTTGGGGGTCGTCATGGTTCTGCTTCTGGTCGTTCTCATCCCGGTTCTGGTCAGCTCAGGGGGGACCGCTGCGCACTACGAGATGCTCAGAACTTGCAGGATGCTGTGCGACCCGTTTGGCACCAGGTCTCCAAGCAGCACCGCCACGGCGGACCCGCTCCCAGACGGCAGCCTCGTGCACTCTTTACCCACTTTCATTCAGGGACCGAAAGGAGATCCCGGTCGACCAGGAAGAATGGGTCCGAGAGGGACTCCAGGTGAGCCGGGACCGCCAGGTCCAGCTGGTCCACCTGGGGAGAAAGGTGAACCGGGTAGACCCGGTTTACCCGGACCTCCAGGACCCAGCGCGGGCGCGGGCGCAGTGAGCGCGGCCACGTACAGCACCGTGCCCAAGATCGCCTTTTACGCAGGGCTGAAGAAGCAGCACGAGGGCTACGAAGTGCTCAAGTTTGATGACGTGGTGACCAACCTGGGGAACCACTATGACCCCACCACCGGGAAATTCACGTGCTCCATCCCCGGGATCTATTTCTTCACGTACCACGTCCTGATGCGCGGAGGAGACGGAACCAGCATGTGGGCCGACCTGTGCAAAAACAACCAGGTGATTTTATAGATGTGATTTATTCAGGAGGTTTTCCTCCCAGTTTGGTCCCAGACGGTTCCAGGTCCAGGTTTGGACTCAGGAGCAGGTCTGGTTCTGTGATGAGGACAAGCTGCTTCAGATATGCAGAGAGTTCTGATCCAGGTTTCTGCTGGGACTTTACAGAACTGATTCATGTGAGGACGTCTCATATTTAAGTTTTATTAATCAAATATAAAATAAAGAGACTCCAACAAAAGTATTCGGAGCTCCAGGACCATGTAAGTTGAAATATAAATACTTTATTTGAATGTTGGGGTTCTCAAAGGTTTTGGGCTCAGGGACCCCCTCATGTTTATTAAATACTTTTATTCAGTTTATTTAATGCAACAGAAATATTCGTGTAACATAAATACTTAAGACCTGTTCTTTAATAGTGTTAGTACAATTTTTATACTTTTAAACATGAAGTATTTTTCTTTCAAGACACTTAATTAACAACATTTTTAATTTCAATTTACAGAAAGGACAGTTTTGAGAAAATGAACAGCATCAAAAAACACTTTTTAAAACTTTACCTGTTCACATAATGAACATAATAAATGTATAGTTGCTTCTTCAAATGATCACATAAAACTCTTTACATCAAACTGAACAGAATCAGAACCGCAGAAGTCAGAACACGTCCCAGGGCTGAGTTTGTAAGAACATTTTGAATAAAGTAGATGTGATTTCCTGCATTTTGGTTTATTTTAATAGGCTATTAAACATCTACGTGCTTGGAAAAAAAAGTTGTTGTTGTTGTTGTTGTTGTTGTTGCGGACCCCCAAGCACCGGCTCGTGGACCCCCAGAGATCTGGGGACCCCAGTTTGAGAACCACTGCTAACCTTCTTCTGTACATTTTTCAGCCTAACTCATTCCACAAGTTTTGTACTATCACATCATTCAGGACGTTCCTGTCCTGACTTTTGGTATTTGTGCTTTTTTTATTTCTATTTTAAATATTTAGCTTTTCCAGCATCGACAGTGATTTGAGTTCTTTCCACATGTTCAAACTTTTTGAGCTGTTTAAAATCATTGTTCTGCTCATTGGACCTTTTCTTCTGGTTCTGCACATTTTCAGCTCCTTTTCCTTCATTTCAGCTTTTTTTTCCTGCTATTAGCTAATTTCCTGCTCCATGGGTTTCATTTCAGCTTTTGATGGATTCTTTCAGTCTTTTAAGCTTATTTTAGCTTCAGTCAGGTAATTTTACTTTCTACTAATTTCAGCCTTTGTCTGATTTCTCAACATTTAGGCTTTTTTTCTGCTAATTTTAGCTTTTTGTGCTCTTCAGCTTCTTTCTGCCAATTTCAAATTTTTTTGTGCTTTCATCGAATTTCCTGCTAATTTCAGCAGTTTTGTGCTCCTTGTGGCTTTTTCCATGATCATTGACACTATTTTATGCTCTTTTCCTCTGATTTCAACATGTTTCTGCTATTATTAGATTATTTCTGTAAATTTCAGCCTGTTCATCAACTTTCAGATCATTTTACTGAATTTAAGCATTTTGAGCTCCTTTCTGTTTCTTTTGGTTTCATCTCAGTAAATTTTAGAAATATTGAGCAAAAATGTTGTTTGGTAATAGCCAACAGTGACCCTGAACACACCTAAAGGCTAATTAACGTTTTAAGAGGACTATTAAAGCTGATGCAAGCTGTCAGTGTAACAGTTCGTACTTGAGCTCTTGAGGCAACTGTGTAAGTCAAACTTCATAACTGGACATGGATCATAAATGATTTCTATTAATTTTAGGGTCACAAAAGGGTTTATGAAAAAAAAGCTAAATATTTCAAAATGTAAAAATTGCACAAATACCAAAAGTCAGAGCAGGAATGTCCTGAATGAACCAACTAAACATTTTGATATGTGAAATGTTGAAATAGCACAACATTTGCTAAATGAGTCAGGCTACGTGCTGAAAAATGTACAGATTAAATCCAATCCTTCCTTCTAAGGAAGCCAGCAGACACATTGAATCTTCACTTTGTCTCAGTCTCCCGTCCTGAGCAAGCACAAAGGAGACAGTGGAAAGGAAAAACTCCCTTTTAACAGGAAGAAACCTCCAGCAGAACCAGAATCAGGACGAGCGTCCATCTGCCGGCTGGGGTGTGAGAGGACAGGAAGGAGAGACAAACGAACACAGAATGACACGTCCAGATGTAGGTCCAGATGTAGGTCCTGTTGGAAGAAAAACCAAAAAACACATGTTGAGATGTGAATAATTACAAACAGGTAGAGTAGAGCAAGTAAAGACAGTAGTATAGTGAAGAAATGTGGTCAGTTTCAGTCTAAGCCTATAGCAGCAGAACTAAGGGACAGCTCAGGAAACCCAACACTAACTATAGGAGTTATTGTGTAGCAGCTCAGATAAAGATCAGCATTTCTAAGTCGGAGGCCATGGTCCTCTGTATTAAAAGGCTGGACTGCAGTTTCTTTGTTGAGAGTGAGATGCTGCCCCAAGTGGAGGAGTACCTCAGGGTTTTGTTCATGCGTGAGGGAAGACTAGAGCATGAGATAGACAGATGGCAGCTTCTGCAGTACTGCCTACTCAGTATTCTGTTTGTTATCTGGGAGAGGCTCGAGAGTTGAGCCAGTGCTCCTCCACAGGAGACAGATGAGTGTTCAGGCATCTGTAAGGATGTCCCCCGGTTACCTCCGTAGGAACTGGGAGGAGACCCCATGGAAGACCCAGGACATGCTGGAAAATCTATGTCTCTCAGCTGGCTGTGGAATGTTTTAGATTTTAGATCAGAAAAGCTGAAAGAAGTGGCTGTGGAAAAAGATGTCCAGGCCTCTCTGCTGAAACTGCTGCACCCACAGCCTGACTCTGGATGGAGCGGCAGGCAGGGATGGATGGATGGATGGATGGATGGATGGATATATCACATTGTGCAGTATCCTGTATATTAAACTCCTCTGCCCTAAAACATAGAAAGGAGATATTGAGTTTCTAATTGGACAAAGAAGTTATTTCTCTATTGTTGAGACATCAACCTTGATACTGTATGTTTTTAGATATGAAATCATAAATCTGAATATATCTGAAAAATAAAATATATTCCTGAGGTTGTATTTCACATTATGGGAATAAGTCTCACATTTTCCTGATATTTAGTAAAATAATGATAGTAATGCACCTTGAAATATGATTAATTCTTTCTATCCCCTTGGATTTCTAAATATTATAAACACTGATTTCGGGTAAAAAAAAAAAAATCTGGATTAATTTGGATTAGAATCATAGAGAGGTTAAAGTTGTCCTGCTTTTGCATAAAAAAACTTAAAATACCATAAAGGTATTTAACCCTTGTATTGTCTTTGGAGAAAAAAAAATCAGTCCCAGATATATTTTTGTCCAAGTTTTTATCTTTTATTGATTTATTTTTGGGGCACAGTCCTTCATTTTTCTCATCAGAACTTGTTCAAGTACTTCCGTAACCTCATAGTTCACTACACGCCCACGTTCCTCCAGGCTTTGTCACACTGTAACGTTTTAGAGTACTTGTGTCAACATACTTACATTTTGTCTAACACACTGGCATACACTGGAGATGGAATTAAAAAATCAACTGGAATCCTTTTTTGCTAACTAGCTGAACAAATATCTAACCTTTGAGTAACTTATCCATAACCTGTCCCTAACTTATACATAACTTATGTAAGCGTATGACAGCATTTTGGACTTGTGCAGAGCTTATGATCAACTCTAGTGTAACTTGTGCCCAACATGTTGGAGCATATTGTGACAAGGGCGGCTGTCACACAGTGACGTATAGCATCAGCGTATGGAAAAACAGCAAACGCACAGATGTAACTGGCCTAACTTAGTTATAAGTTTTGAATAAGTTACCAGCATGCTGATGTACGATGGCATGTTAGTCGTATGTCAGTGCCAGCCACAAGTTTTCTACATGCAAAAATGCTCAGCGTATGAAAACACGCATTGATGATAAGTTAGACATAAGTTACAGGTGCAACAAAAACAACAAAGTCCATGCTCAATAATCCAGGTATGCAATCCAACATTTTTCAGTCAGGTCATCTGGACAGTTTCTTTCTTTTGTGCTGAAACGTTTCGCCTTCGATCCGGAAGGCTTCATCAGTCAAAGAAACACACAACAAAACTGATTCTTCCTCCAACAGCTTACTCCAAAGTGGAACAAACCAGTTCTTCTTGTGATAAGATGGTCTCTTTGGTACGCACCCTCCTCCATTGCTGGTCCTCTTCCTTGTTGACAGTCTTGTCAAACTGGTTGAAAACAACAAAGTCCATGCTCAATAATCCAGGTATACAATCTAACATTTTTCAGTCAGGTCATCTGGAAAGTTTACCAAAGACACCATCTTATCACAAGCAGAACTGGTTTGTTCCATTTTGGAGTAAACTGTTGGGGGAAGAATCAGTTTTGTTGTGTGTTTCCTGAACTGATGAAGCCTTCCGGACCGAAGGCGAAACATTTCCGCACACAAAAAAAAGAAACTGTCCAGATGACCTGACTGAAAAATGTCGGAGTGCAACAAAAAGTTGCGCACAAATTCAAACAAAAGTTAATTCTTTACTCCGCATTTGTTTTCTTGGCATTAAGCTGCATTTGGGAAATGAACTAAATCAGTATTCTGCTGTGCACAATAATACAGTGTTAATGATGCTGGATGAGACTTTCTTCATAGATGAGATGAAATGCAAGTGAAGTTAGAACTTGAACATCTGAAGTTTGGGGGAGAAATCCACTCTTTTTGTTTGTTACCTGCTGGTTAGCTGGTTAGGTGTTCTGCTCCAGTGTGCCTCTGTATCCAGCTGTCTTTCTTGAGTAATCACGTTGAGAGCGGCATGGCATGGGAGTGCCACAGACATGTTTGTGTGTGTGAGGGAAGATGATCGGGTACAATTGCTTCCTTACATGCATTTTTGGGCATTGATAGTATATTGTTCGCTTTTAAATCCAGAAATGGCACCATGGGCTACATACTGTACACTGT